ATCATCGTAGTCGCCGTCGACAATGGCAGTGGCAATGCAGCCCGTTGTTGACGACGATTTGCTGGCGATGCTGCTTCAACAACTGCCGCCGGGGTTTCGATTTCATCCAACCGATCGAGAGCTGATCGGGTTTTTCTTGACAAGGAAAATTGCTGCTTCTTCGTCTTCAGTTGCTGCTGCTCCCAGTTCCCTGATCAAAGATTTTGATGTCTACTCCACCGAACCCTGGAATTTACCTAGTAAGCCTACTCAATTTCCGATTCTTTACCTAGTTTCTTCCTTAAAGCTGATTTCTTTAGTCCCGAGATGAAGTGAGAGCATCTTAAAGCTGATTTCTCTAGTCCCGAGATGAAGTGAGAGCATCTTTTTTCCCAAAATTGTTTCTTTTTTGGTTGCAATCTGTAACTGGTAATTTCTTGCCAAATTTGTTTCTTTTACATGATTTCTTCTTGCATTCTTGTTTAATTTCAAGCCCATGAAGACGCATATACTGAGAAGGTAATTCTAATGTGAAATTTTTGTCGGGTTCTCTAATTTCTTAATTTATTTTGATTTTCTTGTTTAAGTTTTTGCTAATGAGTTTATTGATGTGTCTTTACTGCTATGTATAGTGTATGTCTACATGCATCTGCATAATGTTGATTCTTGATCCTTTGCTTCCTTTTCCATAGAATAGAGGACACAATTATATTTAGTATTACTTATCAAACGTGTTCATGTCACGAGTTCAAAAAAAAAGAACAAAACTTTGTCGAAATGGTTTCAGGATCGGTGATTTTCTGTTATTAGAAAGAATGATGGCGAAATGAGAAAGTGGGAATATTTGTTTGCTGTGATGACACATTCCTCTCATAGCTCATGATTTTCTATTCTTGCTTATAGTGTACCAAGTTGTTGCATACTGATGTTCTTTCACTGCTACGAAGTAGTTACTTAATTGCTGCTACTGTTGTTTTGTTACTTTTTTTTGTATCATTTATTTAGCATTGTCAGCTGAACACATCTCTCAGCTAATGAGCATGTTAGTTTTTTCTGGTTCGAAAATATCTCTCTTGCTTTGCTCGTTAAATATCGTTTTGATCGTTACATCTAAAAATATGTTGCTATTTAGCTTTTGACGATTTTATTGATTTCTGATCTATGTTCAGGTGATTTACTTCTGATCCAGAGTGAAGAGAAAGAGATGTATTTCTTCTCCCCTAGACATCCAACAAGCACAAGCTCTAAAAGGGTTAACCGAACTGCTGGTTGTGGATTTTGGCATGGGAGTGCAGGTGACACGGCGATTATGGTTGGAAGTGAAGTTATTGGCTACAGAACACAACTGACTTTTAAGACCCGCGGGAAGGAGAAGAAGAAGATTAATGGTGACTGGATTATGCACGAATTTCACTTGCACTCCTCTTCTGACGATACAGTGTTCGATGACATGGTATTGTGCAGAATCTACATGAAGAAGGTAAAGAAGAGTTCTCAAACGAATGAACAGGAAGATGCTATTTCTGTTCCTGCAGGTGAACAAGAGGCAGTAGCTGAAGGGCACAGAGTGATGAAGAGGAAAAGGGCTGATCATCATGAGATGGGAACCTATGGAGTAGTGTACAACAAGTCATCTGACCAAAATGCGTCATCATTGCCCAAATTGCCTCCATTGCCATCTTTTGAAGAATCAAATGTTCAGTCAGATATGTGTTGCGTCAATGTTGCAGTTTTTGATGAAAAACAAAAAAACGAGGAGGAAAAAGAGGGAAGGATGCTTGTGAAGAGAATGCGGGTCGATGAAAATGAATCTCTGGTTGCTGATTGTAGTGAAAAAAGAAAATCTGTGCCTGCGAATACTGAACCATCATCTTTATTGTTGCTAGAGGACGCACACGCTTTAGTATCTTATGGAGATATGGAAGATATCTCTTCGTTGACATTGGATGTGGGTTCCATCGTTGTTAGCGATAGTGAGTTATCAGAAGCACAAAGAGGCCTGGAGCAATGGCTATCAGAGGAACCGGAACAACATAAATGCTGGATCACTGTTAACAATGAAAGAGGAAACTATGAGGAGGAGAACAATGCTGAGTCAACCATCCCTCTGTCACCATCCAATGAAGGCCTTCAAGCCAACCTACACTTGACTAATGGATTGTGTGCCACTCCTCCACAAGAGGACGATATGTATTTTGATATCTCTGACTTTAGATTCTTGTTATCACCCACTGACGAAGGTCAGTCATCTTCCTTGTTAGAGTCTAACAAAGAATCTGAAGGTTTCGACTTATTGACATCAGATATGACTTGGGATAGGCTATTACAGAGAGGAGAGAAATGAGCCAAGGAACCTGAACAACAAGAAGGCTTGATAACTAATATTCCATGGCCTGTCGATTCCACTGAATGTTTGGATATGAAATCCGACGACTTGTTACGTAGTGGTGAACTGCCTAGTCCTTCAATGCTCTCTCAACTTCTGATCATCCAAGCTGAGGGCTTTTTTTCACACACGGAAGATAATTTAGATTGGTGACATTATTGTATGATGTTACATCTGTGTAAAGATTTTTTTTCTTTAATAAAATTATTTAATTCTTTTCTCTTTTCACTGAGCAAATATTTTATTCGTCCCTTGTCCAAATTGCGAAAACTTGTTCTAGAACTATTATGACTAGAGAATGCGATAAAGCAATAGTTTTTATTAACTTGAGCACTGGTTAAGTATAACGAAATGTCAGTAAGTGGATTAAGAAGATATTTTGATTGAATAGTCCGTTTATGTAAGAGATTTGGAACTTGCGTATGGCAGTGTGCTGTGTTTTGCTAGTTGGATAAAGTTTAAACTTCTTGTCCATGTACCATTATGGTCCGCATTGAGGTTCTCGTAATTGTGATTCAGGTCCAAAGGGTGCAATTCTGAATATTAGCACAATATATTGCAGTTGCACGACTTGGATAGTATGCTGAAATTATCTAAACGTTACTTTAAAAGGGGTTGTTCTCTACCGTCATTGCTTCCTTAAAGTTTGCAGTTTCAAGCGAAAAGAGTTACACTTGGGCATATTAGCATGTGCGGATCTTTCATCCAAGTACTTTCTAAACTCAAGTTTCATGGAGGCTTAACGGAACCAGAATGGGTTTTCGATGGGGAAGGGATTTTGAAGGCTCGGCGTATAATTTCAAATGGGCTGCATTGGCCTATCAGAGATGAGATGTTGATGAAGGTTTGGGATGATCATTGAATTCCATTAGATGCAGGAGCTTGAACATCTGTTCTATTGCTTGATGGGTATGATAATGTGAAGGTTATTGCCTTGATGAAAGATGATACACGAGAATGGAATACTGACGTTATTCATGATATTTCTCCTCTGGATGAGGCTAAGACCATTATGAGCATCCCTCCAATTAATACTGCAGCTGAAGATGTCGATTAATTCCTGGAGAGTGTTATCCTCGTGTAATTATACTGTCCGTACTGCATAGTTTGTAGTGAAACAATAGTACTTTCTGGAAAGAGTTATGGAAAATTCCCCCGAAATTAAAGTTTTTCAAGTGGGGAGGTTTATTCATAATATTCTCTCTACAAGAAAAAAAAAAATTAAGCAATAAAGGTGTTGAGAACGTTGAGGGGTCGCATGTGCTGTTATTTGCAATGTCGAATCCCATTGACGCGTTCTTCCCTGATATCCAAGAGAATTGTCTGTGTGGAGTGGTCTTACGTTGTCGACGCGAGTAGAACAACTCATGTCCTTCCCTAGTCTGGACTAGCCGAGGAAGTTCTGCGTCTACTTCATCCAAAAGATGTTGTCCGATGTGTTTGCGGTTATGCAGTTCTTGGTCGAATGGAAACCAGCAGTGACCGGGTGAGAGAGTGGCCGAATGCAGGGTGAGAGTAAAAATTGTGAATGGCTTCTTAGCTATAATAGATGGGTGTGCATCGGATTGTGGAATCATTGCTGAGACTCGGATGGAAGCCACCGGTGGATTAAGATCAGTAGCGAACGGGAGTTTGGTCGGCATGGGGAAGTATATAATGGTAGGGTTCTCATTGACTACGGCTGGAGAGATTGCTTCGCTTCAAGGAGTCAAATTTGCAAGCCATATGAGATCCGGAGATGTGGAATTTGAGACGGATGCCAAGGCTGTGCTTGATGAACTAGCACATGCGAAAGAAGGTTACCCTTTATTTGGTAAATATATGTGAATCAATCTTGCTAGGAGTCCAATTTATTCCTCATTTTCAATTTACGCATGGAGAGGGGAATAAGGTAGCTTAATTCTCTTGCTTACTTTTGTGCACTAAACAGGGTATTTAATTTTTATTAATAAACAAACAGGGTATTTAATTTTTATTAATAAACAAACAGGGTATTTATTTATTAGCTGGATTCCTGTCTTAATTTTCTCTTGAGGGATATTCAAAATGATGTACTTATTCTGAGTTCTGAATGAAATCTTGGTATTTTTCATATAAAAAGCATAATAGTAAAGAATATTTTGGAATATTTCTTAAGCTAACCTTTTGAGATGCATACTAATTCAAAAGTTGAACATTTTGAGGTAAACAATAATTGTGAAAATTTGGGGTTTGGATTTTTTTTAGGGGTAGTTTTTTTTTGTTGGGGGGGGGGGGGGGAAGGCG